AAAAGAAAAATTAGGTGATAGCTTTTATATGACCTCCTGAGGTTCCTGAGGTCCCTTCCAACCCTGATATTCTATGATTCTGTGCTATGCCACAATGGTTCCTGACTGTAATAGGTCTGGCATTTAATGGCATTTGTGAATGAGACCTCAAAGATAAACATTTCAGGAAAATGTAGACTATGGATTTCTGCCATCCTTGAAGTACAAATCAGCGGGAAAAGGGTGAAGGTGTGTCTGTATACATAATATTCCACCTCCTAGTTGAGATGCCAGTGGCAGTCAGTCACAAGTGCACTAATGTTATGAAAGGGTGGACAGAATGGGTAAAGATGGCTGGTAGTGGTGACAGGAACTCTGAAAGGGTTGTTCTTATCTGGGTCTCTTACCAAAAATAAAATGAAATGTTGGACCAGGGCCTTAAGCTAAAACAATAGACTGTCCATTTCAAAAATGAATGTGTGGCTATTGTACTGTATAGGCAACCCTTCCTGCCCCAGGGTGCCTCTAGGGTGTTGTAAGGACATAAGAGACCAGGTTGATTCTAGAATTCCCGGTAAGTTATAGGGAAGATAGAGGGGTTCACTGGTTACTCTCACTGCTCTGAAAGTGGCTTTGTCATGTGTTGCAAGACTAGCTGAGTAAAGTGGCTGCACTTTTGAATCAGAATGTTACAGAGGGATCAATAACTTTCACCAGCAAATGAATCATTAACTTATAGTAAATAATAGTCGATGTAACAGTTGAGGCAGGTAGGACTCCTGCAGGTAGTCAACCTATTCAAGAAAAAGGATCTCATTTATTATATTAAATCTGATTTCATCCTTAGCCCCAGGACCAACATTTTCTTACTATTTTGTTTACAGTGCAGTTGAATAGATCTCTCTGGAAGAGTTTTGGTATCACAGGTTTAATTTGGGGCATTGATACTCGATGGTGTTAAAAGGATATTGTCAGGTACTTTAGCACCAAAAACAAAAACTCTTTGGAGGTATATGGGGAGGCCAGAAAAACTGGTATGTGCAATGCAGCCTCCGTCTCCTTTCTTACTGGAAACCCAAACCAGATACCAGCAATCTTACTGCAGATGCTGTGTTGCCTGCTTTCTCCATTTTCCTACAGTTACTTATTAAAAACAAATTACATTTCTCTCTACTGTGTGGTAGCTCAGAATAGTCAATGTGCTAAGTCTTTCTAAAACCAAATAAAGACTAACCTGAAACATTGAACTCTTTCCTATTTTACCTTGGTATTCCCTGCCCTCTGTTAAGTTCAGTTTCTCCAAGCTAATAACATTGAGATTTTCTCCTCCCAGTGGTTTGAATTTATATCATCTTTGCATAGCTTTCTCAGTACAAGGAGAGAAAAATCTGGATGATTAGGTAGGGTTACCATACGTCCGATTTTCCCGGACATGTCCGGCTTTTTGGTCCTCAAATCCCCGTCCAGGAGGAAATTCCAAAAAGCCATACATGTCTGGGAAAATAGGGAGGGGTCGTGGGGCTTGGGTCCGGGCTGGAGCCGCTGGGGTCGGAGCCGGAGCCGCTGGGGCCAGCGGTGCTCGGCCACCAGCTGGTGCCGCTTGGCCGGGGCCGGGCTGGAGCCGCTGGGACGGAGCTGCTGGGACCGGGGCTGGGGGTGCTCAGCCGGGGCCGGAGCCGCTCGGCTGGGTCCGGTGCCCCGGGGCCCAAGCCGAGCTGGAGTCGCTAGGGCCAGGGCTGGAGCTGCCAGGGTGGGCCGGAGCTGCTCGGCCAGGACTGGCACGCTTGGCCGGAACCAACGCCGGGGCCAGAGCCTCTTGGCTGGGGCCGGCCGCCGGAGGGAGCCGCTTGGCCGGGGGGGCCGGACTGGGCCACGCCTCCTTGCGCCCCCTCACCCCCGCCACCGCCCCAGCTTACCTGCTGCCTGCCTGTTTCAGGCTTCCCGTGAACATTTGATTCGCGGGAAGCAGGGGAGGGGGAGGAGCAGGGGGAGGAGCGTTCAGGGGAGGGGGCGGAGTTGGGGCAGGGAAGGGGCGGAGTTGGGGTTGGGGGCGGGGAAGGGATGGAGTTGGGGCAGGGCTGGGGCCCTGTGGAATGTCCTCTTTTTTTGTTTTATTAAAATATGGTAACCCTAGATTAGGGTTCTACAAACAGTTGTGCAGGTCCTTTACTTTAAGTGTATGAGGAGTTGCATTGAAGCCAATAAGATTTAAATAGGTATAAATGTTTGCAGGATCAGGGCCTTAACAAGCATACAAGTAGTTCAATTGCAGAAGATAATTGAAGCAAAAGTGTATTTTATGTTCTCCTAAAGCAATTTCAAAATCACATTGACATTATTAATTTACATTACACAATTAAAGAGGTAATGGGTGAGGTAATATCTTTTTTTATTGGGCCAACTTCTGCTGGTGAGAGAGACAAGCTTTTGAGCTACACAGAGCTTTCAACTCCAAATGCTTGTCTCTCTCACCAACAGAAGTTGGTCCAATAAAAGATATTACCTCACCCACCTTGTCTCTCTAATATCTTGGGACCAACATGTATACAGTTGCACTGCATACTGCTCAGTTAAATCAGGCCAGCTGTGGACCAATGGACATATCAGGAAAACAAAAAATAAACTGTATGAAACAAGGAGGTTGTGATGGGTTGGATCACAGAAACCCCCTTGGGGCTGCCAACTGATGTGCCAAGACTACTACTACCCATGCTTTCCCTCTGCCAGCTCAGGACTCCAGCACCCTGTCTTGCTGAACCAGACACTTCCATCTGCTCCAACACAGACCCAGGGTCTGAACTACTTGCCCCAAAGCTGCAGGTTTACCTGAAAACAGCTCACAGAAGTGTGCTTGTCTTTAACACTCAGATGCCCAACTCCCAATGGGGTCTAAACCCAAATAAATCCGTTTACCCTGTATAAAGCTTATACAGAATAAACTCATAAATTGTTCGTGCTCTATAACACTGATAGAGAGAGATGCACAGTTGTTTGTTCCCACAGGTATTAATACATACACTGAGTTAATAGGTAAAAAGTGATTTTATTAAATACAGACAGTAGGATTTAAGTGGTTCCAAGTAGTAACAGACAGAACAAAGTAAGTTACCAAGCAAAATAAAATAAAATGCGCAAATCTATGTCTAATCAAACTGAATACAGATAATCTCACCCTCAGAGATGCTTCAGTAAGTTTTTTCCTCAGACTGGACACCTTCCAGGCCTGGGCACAATTCTTTCCCCGGTACAGCTCTTGTTGCAGCTCAGATGAGAGCTAGGGGATTCTTCATGGTGGCTCCTCCCTCCCTCTCTGTTCCCTTCCAGCCCTTTATATATCTTTTGCATAAGGCGGAAACTCTTTGTCCCTCTGGGTTTCCACCCCCCCCCCCACTGGAAAAGCACCAGGTTAAAGATGGATTCCAGTTCAGGTGACACGATCACATGTCACTGCAAGACTTCATTGCCCACTTGCCAGCACACTCACATACAGGAAGACTCACAGGTAAAACTCTGCAGACAATGGTCCTGGTTAATGGGAATCATCAAGATTCCCAATCACCATTAATGGCTCACATTTTGCATAATTACAATAGGCCCTCAGAGTTATATTTTATATTTCTAGTTTTAGATACAAGAGTGGTACATTTATACAAATAGGATGATCATCACACTCAGTAGATTATAAGCTTTGTAATGACACCTTACAAGACACCTTTTGCATGAAGCATATCCCAGTTACATTATATTCACCTATCATATTTTTATAAAACCATAGACTGCACAACATCACAAGGAGATAATTTTGTACCCGTGTTTTATGTAATAAATTCCTTATTAAAGACACAGAGACAAATTAATCTCTGGTGCAAATGGCCACAAATCCATTAAAATCAAGCATGTCAGAGATTAATTCAATCTAGTTTCAAGAGTTTTAGGAGACCCATTTGAGTTGACCTAACTTAAAATTGTTACGATCTCATCAGGAAAAGTATCTGAACAATGGAAATTTGCCAGTTCTATATAATCAGCCACCTATCACTCCACCCTGAGAAAACTAACCACACTCTTTGTAGAACCTACCCAAATCACAAATCTTTCTCTGAGCTCTGCAGCAGCAGTAACTAACTGGTATTGCCACAGCTATGCTGGGATCTTCAACTGTTCTCTTATACAAAACTGATACGAATTGCCATTGATTTGAATAGGAGCAGGATAAAATCCTGACACCACTGAAGTCAATGGCAGAACTCCCAGCCAGGTCTGCAGTCCTTAGGGTCTGTCTTCAGTGGAGCTGGAGGTGTAATTCCAGCTTTGGTAGACCTATGGGTGCTAGTTCTGAACAAGCTAACTTGCTAAATTTAGCCCATCTGAAAACCCAGATTACAGGGGAGATGCCTTGCCTTTTGTTTTGTAAAATGCCCAGCATGTAGGGGCTAAGTATTACTAACGACAGAAAGTTAAAAAACATTACATATGACTGACAGAGTCATTTTCACTGAGCTCCTTATGGACTTCAGCTCACTATTGTTATGGTGATTACTTTATTGGAGAGAAAAAAATAAACACTTTTTTCTATGACACAGTTTGACCAAATTGTTTGTTTTATTGGTAATGCTGAATGTAACATGTTGTGTTAAGATCACTTACCTTGTATTGAAGACCTCTGCTGTTTTTCTTTGGAAGTCTGAATTCTTTCCAGCGGGCATTCAGATTTCCCGTCCCTTCTCATTTTCACCTGTCTCTGGGGGATTTCTGTGCTGTTTGGCCAGCCTCGCTCTTCATACTTTGTTTCACCAGCTACGCTAGGATTTTCGGCCTTTTATTTTTGATTGGTTTTCATGTAGTCATTTCACTCAAGATGCCTGCCCCCAATTTTAGTGTCTGGATTCTATTCAGGATCATTAATTCATTGTTTTAGGGCTTGATGAGGGTACAATAAGTGTTTACAAATCAGTGGCCAGCAGCTGCGTTTTAGAACTGCTGAGGATTCTGATGTTAAGTCTCTTTCTTCTTCTTCCTAGGTATTTGTATAAAGTGCGGAAAGGGCGTATATGGAGCGAGCCAGGCTTGCCAAGCAATGGGTAACCTCTACCATACCAACTGCTTCACCTGCTGCTCTTGTGGTAAGTCAGCTCTACAGTGTCTAACATACAGCCTAAGGCCCGATCTTGCAGTCCTTACTGAGGCAAAATTCCCACTCGCGTCAAGGCTGGTGATTAATGACACTGAGCATGCTCCATCTCTAAGCATCCAACTGCACTTTCTTAAGCAAGAGGACATAAATCTAATACTTCATTGACATTAAGTGTTACATTTTCAAAGGGGCTTCAACCCGGCCTCCATGGTACTTGTTGTACATCAATCGCTTTTTGTGGAGCTTTATGTGCATTATAATTTTTGCACACAAACAATAGAATTGATACAGGCAAAATTCATTTTATGCACATGCAAATGTTTGTGCATTCAAGCATGTACATGCACACATGATAATGCACAAAAATTGCACGTGCAAGTCTGAATGTGCAGAAATGGAGACCACATGTTGAAAATTCAGCTCTAAAACTGCTACCGCATTTGGTGGTGGTTGTTTTTTAATTCTTTCCTCTAGAACTTTCCACGCCCCTTCCAAAAGCTTGTAGGATTTCTCTTTGAATCTGCAGGCATGTCAAAGGAATGGTCTCTACACACTGTATGTGATTTTAGCAAAAAAGCATGGCTTTGCTACTGAGAAACTCGGCTGTTTTCAATTCATGGTGACTCATATTGATGTATTTTAACAAGAAGGATATTCTACTTGGTCTGAAGACATCATAAATGTTAGAAAATAGAGTCAAAGCTCTTAGAACTGGGTGCCTAAAGTTAGGGAATGAGATCCGTATTTAGGCACTTCAGTGGCCTGTGTTTAAGAAGTGCTAAGCACACGCAAATTCCCATTGATTTCAATAGGACCTGCCAGTCATCAGCTCTGAAAATCAGTTCATTTTTACTGAAGTGCCTCAATATGGATTTAAGTTTTTTAACATTTTATGAAAATGTTAGCCTTGCTGTAAAAGTTCTTGTTGAGATACATATACGCAGACAGAAGGCTGAGCATCGGTGGAATATACAGCACGGAAATTATTTTTAAAAGGGATTAATTAAGGATTAGAAAAAGAGTAAAAACTCATTGGCATAGAACCAAACAACTTTCTATTGAAAAGACCATTGTAAAGTTCACTTATGAAAGGAGAGCTGTAGGTTTGGGGTTTTTTTCTCTCTCAGGCTTTGTACAGATAGATATTCATTTTTAAAACAAATATTTATGGAATTTAAGGAATCTTTGGACCATGATCAGGTTCTAAAATAAACTTGCCTAAAATTTAAGGGTAATTTGCTCTCCTGAGTCCATCCAAATATGCCACTGACTGAGCAACAAGTTTGCTGGCTCCCAAAGTGAATGGAATACTTAGGGCAGCCTGCTAAGCAGAGGATGACAAAATACAATATCAGATAATATCTATCCAATCATCACCAAAATTAAATTTAACCTAATTACGTGGAGCAAATTACAGCGCCCTCCGCATGGCAGAACACAAATGATAAAAAAGAAGTCAGGACATACGTTGACTGTCATAAAGATTTCTATGTAAGTCATTCTATTTTTCAACAGAATGTTTAGAGGCAGGGGAAGGTATTTTATTAACAAAATATAATTCTTGGTTAGTTGTTAAAATGCAGCAGTAAACTTTCAGATTGCCCTCCCAATGTTTGTGGCCGATGTTCATCTAGCTGAATGCAGTGTAGGACTTGATCTCGCAGAACCCCAAACAGTGCTAGTGGAATTCCATGATTCACATTATGGCATATGAGTCACTGCATATACACTAGGTAACAATGCACCATGTTGTCCTGTGAGCTTCAGGGCCAGTGCAACCACTAGGCAAACTAGGCGGTTGCCTAGGGCGCCAAGTGGTTGGGGGCACCAAAAAGCGGCGAGCCCCAGCCATGGAGGAGCCAGCGCGGCGCAGGGTGGACAGCAGACCTGCAAAGGCAGCGGCGCTACTAGCAGGGAGCAGCCGCACCCCCCGCCCCTCCTGCCCAGGCTGCGGCCCGGCGCCCCCGCCCCTCCTGCAGGCTGCAGCAGATGCATGCGGGTGGCAGCCCCCGTGCGCCTCCCGGTTCCCCCCTTGCCGAGCTCGGGCTCTGCGGCTCCCGGGCATGTGAGCCGCCGCTGCCTGGGTGCGGGGCCCCGAGACTGCTCCCGGGAGCCACAGAGCCCGAGCGCGGTGAGCGGAGAGTGGGGGGGGGGCGGGCGCATGGGGGCTGCTGCCCACATGCATCCACTGCAGGAGCCCCCCAGGGGGGGCGCCGGGCTGCAGCCCAGGCAGGCGTACCCCCCAGTTTCCCCCTCACCACACTCGGGTTCTGCGGCTCCCTGGTGTGTGAGCTGCTGCCACTGCCCCTGCTGGAGGGCTCCAGCGATCTGCGGGGGCACAGAGGCGGTGGGCGACATCTGAGCACGCAGCCACCTCCTCCCCGGGCTCCAACTTTCCTGGCTCCCGCTGCTCTCCAGCCCGTGCGCCCTCGGCCAGGCACTTCCGCAGTGCAGCAGCAGCCGGAGCTGGGGGGGTGGGAAGTTGCTTCAGGCCCCATGGTTCAGGGAGCTGGGAAAGTTGGAGCCCGGGGAGGAGATGGCTGCACGCTCCGCCCGCCGCCTCTGTCCCCTGCAGATCGCTGGAGCCCGGCGTTGGCTCCTGCCCTAGGAGCGGCAGCGGGAGGCGGTGCAGGACGAGGAGGGATGCTGCTGTGGACCGTGGCCACCAGGCAGAGTGGGGTTTCTGGGAAATGTTCCCGACCATCGCCGCCTGGCTGGCTTGGCAGCAAGAAACCTTCGCAGCGCCGACCTGAACCTGGGAGTTGTAAGTTGCAGCCACTCGGGGTCCCCTTCCCCACATGTTGCACAGGCCAGGCCAGGCCGCCACAGCTCAAAAAAAAACCCTTGGACAACTTTCTAGTTGTATTTCCCTGTATGGATTAATCTGGGATTTCTATGAGAAAACAACCTATTTAAAAAGTTACGTGATTAAATACTTGATATTTGCATTAACCTAACTTTCAAAAATATGCCCCAACTTTTTTTATTTGCAGTGTTTAAATCAAGAAAACAATTCCAGTTGCAATGATGTATCCTGCTCTTTAAACTGTTCAGAAAGCCACAGCATACAAAGAAATCAATGTAGCTAACATTTTAAAAAGTAATTCAACTGATTATAAAACACAGCCACAAAACTAGAAAAATCATGCCAAGACAGTTGGTTTCACACTTCCCAGATAAGGAAGTGATCAGTAAAGTAAGAAACATATATTATGCATAAGTGGAATCAATGTCAAATAGAAACAGAAGTTTCAGTAAATATTAGTTTAAACTTAAAGACAAACTTTACAATATGAAATCATATGGGAGGGGCCTATTTTATAAAGAAC